AATATGTACAACATGGTGAGGGGACGTTCATAACTTCCGGCTTGTTAGGGTCAATAAATTAAGTCAATTAAGTTTGTCGTCGACTAGTTATTGACGACTAAATTTGTCGAACAAGCAGGTGTCGACGAGTCGTTTGTCGACCATCAATCCGGGAGACCTCTATTGTCATTAATTGTGCTTTTACTGCTGTATTTCAGATACTCCATCCACCAAATTCGACCCCGTCGGTTTCATATTTTTAATCATGGTGGTCTCATATTTCCTCTTGGGTCCAAGTGTAACATGTTCTTTCCTCTATTTTGAGATAGATCCCTTCCAATATATTTTTCCTACTTGTACCAACCGTGCACAACATTTCGCGTCACTATTACGGCCGTATGTGCATTCGAAATTTTGAACCTAGTCGTTCTTCTTACATTAATAATTAACGTCACGACTACCCGAACCCTTCGCAAGATTGTCAATAAATTCAATAAGATTGACACGTGGGACAAACTCATCTCAAATTATGTAATCTTTCACATCACGGTTCAACTTGGTTTACCGTTTTCGTACGAAATCACCATTTGCTCCATGCTGGTCTCTCTAGTTGGCGGGGTCATGTTCAATGTCGCTAGTATTGTCATGATAGAAATATCCCGCCCTTAATATATCCATTCTTCCCGGCGATATCCGTTCTATTAATTTACGTTGTCATGGTCATTGTTCAATTTAACGTGGATCTGCACACGGGGACGGAACGCATATTGATCGGGGCGAAGAAAATGATATGCGAAATATCGTCACAGAGGGAGATCCGTCGTCGAAAAAGGACTTTGAGGAGTACGAGGGTTACAACTTTGAAAGGGGGTGTGACCGGATTTAGTTTTTATGGCATGACAAAATCTACAAAACGGAACTATTACATATATGGCATATGTGGACTATTTACGATTTATCGGTATACGATTAACGCACTGCTATCAATTAAAGTTTATGTAGATACATACATATTTATGTAAGAAGTACATAGGAACAAAAGGAATTTTATTTCTGGTCGGTTTGGGGGACATTATGTCCCAGACATTTACAACAACATCACAGCCTCTTTCAGACATTGGGACCATTTAAGCTTGATAAAAATTCGTATCCATCCACCTTTATGGCGTTGTTTGAAATAAGTTATGACAATTCATGAATCATTTCGTTCACTAAATTCATTTCCGTAATTAAAACATATTTCGTAAGTAACGGTGACATAAAAAACACGTGGGTTAATTTAATTTAAGTCCCATTCAATTTTAGTTCTATCAAAATTGAAACGGAGTTGATCTTTATAAAAATGTGGTCAACAACCAGACAAACAAATTGTAAAGATATCAATATATCAGTTGTGACGCTAATACGTATTTATATAGATTCAGACTTTGACTCTTGGAGGAATATCGATTTGTTGACGAATAGGCGGACTACGCAGTACTAATCTTAAATTGACATCCCACTAATTAACTGTTTTTCCTAATTGTTTCCTTTGCGATGAATAGAACAGAGGAAATTCAAGCATTAATTTGCATATGAATGAATGTGCTATACAAATTCCGTGCTACTGCAACATAACAATTCCCTTAATGACTCAGAATTTCGCATCAAACCAAAATATTAAACAAGTCACCGCGGAAGCCGTGGGGACATTAACATTGTACAAGAGGGGAGGGAGGGGTTTATATAACATGGGCAGATGATGTGGACCTCGAACAACCAAGGCGACATTGTCCCTCAGTCCCTACTGTTCCGCGGCCACTTTCATAAACTCTCTAAAATGTTATCAGTACAATTCCGTACATTTCTGTCTCATTCGCCTCCTTACTTCCTTCAATCAATTAACATGGCTCACGCCACCCTTTTCTTGTGCCTGCTCCAATTTCTGGGATATATTCCCATTTCGCTGAAAAAATTGGAAAATCCTTCCCAGAAACATTCTAGAATTTCCAAATTGCTGTCCCTTTTCCGGCAGTACTTTCCTGCCTTGACCTACTCCTTGATTTCCTTCAGTGTCGTCATAACTTTCTTTTATCGTTACTCATCCTGCCCGCAATCAGAAATTTTGACTATATTAAGAAGTCGTGGAACATTTTATTTCGTCCTGATCTTCAAATGTTTTTCGCACTTGTATTGTTCTTCATTTGTCAAGTTAGACATGTTAGTCCAAAGCAGAAAATTGGCCCGATTTTGGGAAAACTTTTTCACTCTGACGTCTCAAATTTCTGGGGGGAATCGATACTATAAGCGATTTATGATTGAATTTTGCCTATTTTTTGGAATAATTGGATACTGGAGTTTGGAAATGTGCTATTTTGCCTATAACCGGCTTGGGAACGATTATTAGTACATATTTCTCATGGTGACCCCCGTCGTCGTGGGGTATTACCACTCGACCTTTGCCTTCCTCCAAGTTTACGTATTGATCTGGTACTTGGAAATTTTGAAACGGATTCAAATTGGGGGGAGAAGAAATAGGGGGAGGAAACAGATTGTTGGAAATCGTATTTCAACCCCGAATTTGCACCCATATTTCGAAAATACGGATAACGAGGGAACTTTTCTTGAAACCAGTTCGAAGGATTTGATCGATCTCTACGCACAGGTGAGGGTGAAGCATAACTGCATGCTCACTTTCATTAATTCAATAGAGAATGAATTAGTTATTCATTATTCAATAAATTTATGGATAATGAGGAAATAATTTTGTCAAAAGTTTTGAGTAAATTATTTATTTCGTATAAACAAAGAACAAAATGAATAATTTTATTCAATTTTCACGATATGCTTAACACATGGGGTGCAGGGAAAAGCCCATGGGAATTTGAGACAAAATGAATAAATAATGAATAATTGATAATTAATATGTGCGTATTAATTTTCAAATTTTGAAGGAACAAATGAAAAAATTCGAAGTTTTAAATTGAATGCATTTTGAATGAAGAAATGGTTTTGAACAGGTCGGGGTGCAAGTTAAGGATTTCAGCAAACTGTTCGGCTGCTGGATGACCATGGACATCGGACACAGCGTGTTACGTATAATTTTTTCTGGCTATTTTATCGCCTCTCTGCTCGGAAGGGATGATCCCATGTTGATGCAGATTGTCCAAAATTTCCTAACCGTGATGGTCTACTTTTACTTGGTAGTCATGGTGGCGAAAAGAGGGTCTGAGTTGGGGGCGAAGAGTGACGAAATTGTGAACGATTTGGACGCTCTGATTCGGCGGGAAGGTCTGAATGGAGGGGGGGAATTCAAATTGAGCGGGATTCGGGTGCGGACAAAATTTATGGTGCTGGATTTAGGCATTGTTATTCCGGTAAGTAAAGGGACGTGCATAAAAATGTCATATATTTTAAATCTAGCTTGTCCAAGGACGCGGAACTCCAGTGACATCGTGTTAACTACAGTATATCCCGCAAAAAACTGAAACCCCTTCAATTTCGACAAGGTTCTAATATCTTAAACTCTTAGAAATTCAGTATTAAAATAATACCAAACAAGCGTTATTTGTACAAAGTGGTATTCATACGTAAGTAATACCCTTCAGTGTTAAAGTTTTACAAGTTTCGTTAGCAAATTTATTCGAATTCGTATAATTTTAATACCAAGCGGTAGCAACTGTAAATATTTGCTAACAATACCTACGAGACTTTACTCGATTTCTAACAGTGTATAACCTCGATGTCCTACAGCTATCTGTACCAATGACTAATTCATGAAGTTAATTTCACAAACTGGTGGCAACATTATTATCATAAGTTTTTAAAATAAATTCTTCTGTATTTATAACACAGTGATATCTTTTGTTTTGCAGATTGTGGCAACCATAACGACAAATTTGTTGGTGCTGATTCAATTTCATAGTGGTACGAGAGGCGAAAATTGTGACTGCGGGAACAATACCCTCATCGAATAGTTGACATGAAAATTTAAAGAAAATCAGAAATCATTTCGTTCACTAAATTAATTTCCGTAATTAAAGCACATTTCGTAAATAAGGGGACACCAAAATGGGCTGGGTTGTCATTGGAGCGCGACTGAAATTAAATTTGGGCTTATCCTTAGTCAGGTCAAAATTGAAAAAGAGTTTATAAAAATGTTGTCAACAACCAGACAAATTGTGATGATATCAATACATCAGTTATGGTATGACGCTACTACGTGTTTATTTACATTCAGACTTTGACTCTTGGAGGAGAATCGATTTGTTGATGAATAAAAGGAATACGCAGTACTAATCCTAAATTGCCATCCCGCTAATTAATTGGTTTTCTTAATTGTTTCCTTTGTGATGAATAGAACAGAGGAAATTAAGGTATTAATTTGCATTTTGCATATGAATGAATGTATGCATATACTGTACATACTCCGTGCTACTGCAACATAACAATTCTCTTAATGACTCCAAATTTCTCAAGCACCCAAAATGTTCATTAATCATTAGCCGCAGAAGTCGTGGGAACAACGGGGGACATTAACATGTTCTGGTAAAGGAGGTAGATGAAGGGGACAATGAATAAAGGTGGGGACATTGCCCCTCTGTTCCGCGGTTACTTTCAATCAATCAAAATTGTTATTAGTGTACATAATTCCATACGTTTCTGTATCATTCAACTCCTAACTTCCCTCAATCGACATGGCTCACGCCACCCTTTTCTTGTACCTCCTCCAATTCCTGGGATATATTCCCATCTCGTTAAAAAAATTGGAAAATCCTTCCCAGAAACATGGCAAGATTTCCAAATTGTTGTCCCTTTCCTGCCAATACTTACCCGCCTTGGCATACTCCTTCATTTCCTTCACCGTCGTCATAACTTTCTTTTATCGACACGCGTCCTATCCTCAATGCGAAATTTTGGCTCTTTTAAAAAGTCGGGGAACATTTTATTTCGTCCTAATTTTCAAAGCTTTCTCGCATCTGTATTGTTCTTCATTTGTCAAATTGGACATGTTAGTCCAACGCAGAAAATTGGCCCGATTTTGGGAAAATTTTTTCAATCTGACGTCTCAAATTTCTGGGGGGAATCGATACTATAAACGATTCATAATTGAATTTTGCCTATTTTTTGGAATAATTGGATACTGGAGTTTGGAAATGTACTACTTTGTGTATTCAAAGATTGGGAACGATTACCAGTACTTGTTTCTCATGGTGACCCCGGTCGTCGTGGGGTATTACCACTCGACCTTTGCCTTCCTCCAAGTTTACGTGATGATTTGGTATTTGGAAATTTTGAAACAAATTCATATCAGCGCGAGAAGAAATCTAGGGAGACAAAAAATTGTTGGAAATCGTATTTCAACCCCAAACTTGCACCCATATTTCGATAACGAGGAAACATTGATCGAAGCCAGTTCGAAGAACTTGATCGATCTCTATGCCCAGGTAGTAGTGCATACATACATATTTATATACATACATACCTGTTCGCATCCATTTATCTAACATAGAATGAATAAATGATTCATTCATTATTCAATAAAATCAGAAATAATTGGTGGACAATTTTTTCGAAATTTTGTAATGAATAAGTACTGAATAAACACTTATTCATTTCATATTCATGAATAACGGATGAATAATTTTATTCATTATTCATTTTTCACGCTTTGCTTAATAATGGGGTGTATTGAGAAGTCCATGTAATAAGGCGAATTTGAGATAAAATGAATAAAAAATGAACATTGAATAAACATTTATTTTAAAATTTTGAATAAATGATTATTTTTCAAATTTTTTAACTGAATTAATTTTGAATTGGGAAATATTTTTGAACAGGTGGACGTGCAAATTAAGGATTTCGGCAAACTGTTCGGCTCCTGGATAACGGTGGATATTGGACACAGCGGGTTACGAATAATTTTTTCTGGCTATTTTATCGCGTCTCTGCTCGGAAAGGATGAGCCCAGGTTGATGCAAGTTGTCCAGAATTTCCTCACCGTGATGGTCTACTTTTACCTGGTCGTCATGGTGGCGAAAAGAGGCTCCGAGTTGGGGGCGAAGAGTGACGAGATTGTGACCGATTTGGACGCTCTTGCCCGGCGGGAAGGTCTGAATGGAGGAGGGGAATTAAAATTGAGGGGCATTCGGGTCAAGACGAAATTCATGACGGTGGATTTAGGCATTGTGATTCCGGTAAGGGATGTGCATAAAGAGGTTATCGAAATTATGTAAACTTGTAAATATAAGGGCCTGGAACTGGGGACAATTAAATATGCCCCGCCAAAATTATTGAACGTTTCAATTTTAATAAGTTTGTGATCCGAGGTCAACCCCGTTCAATTTTGCCAAGGCGTTAATTTTAATGATTTTTTGCGGTGTCTCAATATTGAAGCAATATGAAGTCCGATTTCCGGCGAGGGCGATTAAAATATTTGCGGCGTCGACTTCTGTTTCTGATAGATTTCTATATTATACAATTAATCCCCAACTACGTATTTATCATTGTCCGTGAGCCTGATATTATTTGATTTATCTGGTGGTAAAAATTAGTCACATAATTCTTTTAGGGTAGATTTTTTGTTATTTATAATACAGTGAAATTATAGTGTAAATATCTTGTTTTTTGCAGATAGTGGCAACCATAACGACAAATTTGTTGGTGCTGATTCAATTTCATAGTGGTGCGAGAGGCGAACAATACCCTCGTCGAATAGTTGACATGAAACTTTCACGAAGATCTTTAAACGTACATACATAAATGAGAATATTTAGCAAGTTAACGAACGAACCACACATTTATTGAAATTCATTAACTTGATTTATACAAAATTTAATGAGGTGGTCCAGCACGTGGTAACATTATCACTTATAAATATGTAAAAAGTAAACATTTTGAACATACATATTTCATTAATTGGTAAAACTAATAAAAAAATTTATAAAATCGTATCCTAAACCACACTGATTTCCAGCCATATTCGCCATAAAAATGGCGTGGTCATTTATTAAACCGTGAACAAAATACGTATCAGACGTAGAGCTGAGCACTTTCATATTTCACATTTCTGGCCGTCAAAGCCACCAAAAGTGTGCTGGTTTGGGGGTAAATTTTGCTTTGAAAGGTTATCCTGGCCTCATCGTTAACGCGCACCTGGGGAAGAAATAATTTTTCGTGATCATTTAGCAATTACTTGGCGGCACATATTTACACTCTTAATAATTTGGGAATAAGATTGTTACCGATAAGATTGTTATAATTCTACCGCTTTGGTAATAACAATTTATCACTGAATTGTGGCCCTCAGAGGGTCAACCCACATTGCTCAACGTCAGTAATATAACTGACACTGAGGAAAGTGAGGTAAAAAAACTTACCAAGAAATGCTCTTCCTCGTGTTTGTACTGTATTTTAATCCGAAATTTAGACCCGGGTCGAATACTGAACAACTTAAGTTTTTCCGGACGACCCCATCCGTCCCCATTTTTAGCCCAAGAGTTCAACTTGCAATTGCATTTGTCGCCGTCCCACGCAGCGTCGAAATGGAACAAAATATTACCACTTTCTTTAATTGCGATGGAAAATCTGAAAATAATTTGGAATGGAAATATTCACCTAATATTCCCTATTTTGAAAACAATGATTTAATCTGCTCACTGAAATTTTACAGGCTTCGCCTGCCCCACGCCGACAATCACGAGTTTGTAGTCACTGTCTTGGTCATTAAGAGAGGCAGATTTTAAGAAAGATGAGGACTAGAAAATGGTTCAAATTTGTTTTAATGTTGGGCAAATATGTAATATATTTTTTGACATAATGCAAATCTTTACGGGATTATGGTCTATAAATATCGTGCGGCAATCATCTTCATTGTCACTTTGTTCCAAATCAGATCGTGAAATTGAAGGCGTTTCACCTTGCTCAAAGTGTGTCGTTGATGTGGATGGATTTGTTGCGACATCCATCATTAGAAGTGGTCCAGAACTAATTTTTGGAAATAAATATATTCCTGAATAAAAACCCCCCACGAAACGAACCGATCCATCATTCTTCATACCTCGTATCAGGAACAAGAAAGCTCACAATGTCATTATGTCCAGATCTCAAAGCGATATCCAGAATTTTTGCGCCAGATCCATCCACCTCGTCCATATTTAGTCCGACGCCATCTCGTAAAAATTGTAGGATTCCAAGTCGTCCATTTTCAGCGGAAATGTGGGCTAAATTTTTTCCAGTAAGTTCATCCTTATATTTTGCGTCGAATTGAGAAGTGTCCATAAAATTCTTGAATCTCTCCTTGTCCCCGAGGAGAATCAGGTCAGAGAGAATTTGGAACTCTGGAAAGTCAGAAAATAACGAGAAACATAATTTCTTTGGACTTGACAAAATAATTTAGGGACAAAATCTGTCATGTTATGGTGTCATTAATTTCATCCTAAATAATAATGTATGTAAATGGACAACCTTGGTTTGCACTATTCTCAGCTGCTGGTTTTTCTGACACACTGAAAAATAAATTAAATTAAACTCGTAACCCATTAACAATTAAACAATAAACTACAAATACAAATGACTGTATATTGTTATTTCGCTTTGAAAATTTATTAAAATTGACCCGTGTCTTCGAGATTTGTGATCCATGACCTCCCCCATAAGATCATCGGGTCATTGCAGGTCAAAATTGGATTCCAGTAAGATTTTGTATTTATTCACCTTCGAACGGCGTCCACATTTCTTAAACGGATAAGGTCACATTCTTCGATAGAGCAATCTCGACAGGTCGGGCAGCTATGTACATGCGTAGAAAAATATATTTAAATTGGTCTAGATTCTTGTGTAGAATTTGAATGTATGTACGTATAATTTTATATTTAAATACGTTCTGGTTTTAACTCTGGAGAGACAAGAATTGTGGAAAATGTGTCCATTTCGAGTTGTCACAAAGTAGTCGTCGACTTCATCTACATATATTTCAATAGTTTGGTTGAAAATTATAAAATATGTGTATGTAACACAATATTTCAGATTTCTTACTTGAAAATTGGTCGAGGCAAATTGGACACTCCATTATTTGTACGTGTTTTAATTTAACGAAAATGTCAGCCGGACGAGTGACTGGTTTTAAGCCAGTGGTTTATAAATATCGGTAATGTGGCAAAAAACGATTCATTGCATCTCATAAACACAATGACATGTATGTACATAAGATACATATGTATGTATGTCTATGGTGCCTGTCTGTATGGTATTATCCAAACGTATGTAAATGTGATTTTATCGTCAATCAATCATCATGCATCCTCACCAATGATTATTTAGTTAAGAATTGTTTATGCTACACCAACACATACAATTTATATCGTGTCCCCTCCGGCATTGACAACAGAGTTGTGGTCATACATATGTATGTACTAGGTGGCCCAAGTAAAGTGTTAGTAGATTGAAACGCTGTAGCTTCACCAGTTTTTGTGTTACAAATTTCTAGTAAATTTTAATGGAAAGCCAGTTAATTTTGAAGTAGAAAACAATTTTTGGTTTCCAATATTTCCTTCTCCAACATTAATGCAGAGCTTAAGACGCGGCCTACAGCCCTCGATTAGAGCACGCTCGGAATCCGTGGACAAATTGTTCCGTTTCGTGGTCAAAGAATTTTTTGAAGCTTTCAGACTTCTATAAGGGTTAGGACACACCTTTGCCCCTAACTTGGGCCATTTTTCATAATCCGGGCATTCACATCCAGCAAGGAGGATGACCATTCCCTATTAGAGATAATGTCCGGAATTTGGTTTTTTAGGCACGCTTCGGCCATTTTTTTCACTATAAGCTCATGCTGAGTCCTGCTAAGAGGTCCGGTCGATTCCATTGAATTGGATCTCACTTAGGGGATGTACCACGGACTCGAAAACATATTTTTAGAAATTTGATCCCCTCACCTTCCCCCCATTTTCAACAAAATGTGGAGGAATTATCCCAATCAGCTCCCACCTGCCAAAACCATCACAAAACCTGGATAATGTGACTTTTTGACCTTTTGTATATATTGGGGGGATGTCTTTGACCGATTGTGCGTAGATGAGCTCAACTCGTTAGTTAAAATATTTTCTCGATGTGAAAATCTCCTCGTTTGTAAAAAGAATCCTCTTCACTTTTTTCGCGCGTACCGCGGGAGGAGAGCCCTTCGTATCTTTAGTAGGGTTTTCTTTCTGGGTATGATCATGGGGCGGCAAGTACCAAATTTAAAAGCCTTAAGCCTAAGGTTCAGTTTGAGTGCTCGTTGGATAATTTACGTCGACAATGTCAGCTGTGAGGCTATTTTCCGCTGGAATTTCGTGGATTTCTTCGGATTCTGTCCTTCAGCGGTCTCATGATGGGTGTGGTCCTTAGAGGGTTTCAAAAAATTTTTCTTCGACCGTTTTTAGTCTATCCCGTCTCAATGAAGGTCTTATAGTCAGGTGAACTAAATTAAAGTACACGTTCGACTTCAGTCACATTTGTCAAATTCGCCATTCTCGCTCCATTTTTTTGGTGAAAAATTATCGTCGCCCGCGTCCTTTCTAGATTTCCCCTGCCGATATGCTTTGCAAGCAATTAAAAACTGATTCATGGCATTTATGCTAAATCGCACGAGGAATCCAACGCACCGCTGGAGATTTTCGTTATCTCCAGCGGTTTTGAAGTTATTAGCTACTAACACTTAGCCTGGGCCCAGTAGGTACATATGTGTTTATACCTATGTGTTTTCAATATATTCCATTTTATAAATAAATACTTGGGAATATTACTAATAAGGAATGAAACTTAATACTCATTATGTGCGTCTGTTGGTTGGTCTGACACAAATGATTCGAGTGTGTCGCACATACCTATTTGCGTATTAAGTTGCGGCGCCAGTTTTGGTGATTTTTCGGCTGCGTCGGCGGCGCGGCGCGGCGTCGCAATGTTGAAGGTATAGGAAATCAAATTTTTCGGCGGCGGCGGCGCGTAAAATAGTACCGGCGTCGGCGGCGTATGGTCGGCGGCGTCGACCTCTGGGCGGTGGCGCTATATTAAACAATATGATATTCATTTTGGCGTATGACACGCTGGTTTTCCCCTTTGGTTACATGGGTTTGTAACGGTTTATTTGCTTAAATAATTACAATTGAGATAATTCGGTATTTCAATAAATAACGCAACCGTATGTAACCTATGTAACTCTGATTGATTTATAACTTTCATGCGATTTAACTACCGTAAATACTTTATTTATAGCCGGGTCTAACCTCGTCACAGATCCGGCTATAATTACTAACCGGGTATTATTTGAGACCCGGCAAATTTTTTTTCTGTCATTCATAACTTGAAGCATTTAAGAACACAAATTATTGGAATGTCATAATTAGAAGCAAGCTTATTAAATTTTTCAAACTTGGGATCGAGACCCGGCTATAAATAGAGTATTTACGGTATTTAAAATTTAAATACATAGAGAATTAACAAGAGAGACATTGTATTATAGCAGGTCTCCATGATTCCCTACGATTTCCCAGATTCTCCTACAATAAAAATGCGATTTATATTTGTATTCTGATATTTCACTATCCATATTTTTACTTTATAATTAACAAGTTAATCAACCTATCCACACAAAATTGCCAAATGTTTAAAGAAGTCAATTTATCGTAGAATGTGCCATCTCCTATCCCCACTTTCAATGGGGGGCTGGAAATAAGAAATTTTCTAACTATTTGATTCCCGCAACCAGATTTCCTCCAGCGGCTCATTTCTTTAATAAATCGCGCCGACGCGACATTAGGGTAGCTGAGAGAGCGCAAAAAGACGTGAATTACATTACACAGGTTAAACCCAAGAATGATGAAAACCATCATAATTCCAATTGACAAATGGCTCCAAGAAGTAATAATTATATACAACGAGCAAATCTGCCCAATAATGGCGAAGGCCAAGAAAATTGAGAGGAATGGTGGGGCCATCACGGCGTTGACAAGATTTTCCATAACTTGCGCGACACGATATTGATGCAGAATCAGTTCAATTTTTCGGAAGGAGGAATCCTGAAGTTTCCTGGAAAACGAATACAAACTAATGTAACTAAATATTATGTAAAGGAAGTATTATTAAGTAATTTTAAGTGAATAAGACAGTTGAAATACCTAATGAAATGTCATAATAATGAAAATACGCCAAAATGTGTATCTACAGGGTGACCATTTATTATGTTACCATCCCTCAAAAAAATCTTCCCATCCGCGCATTGAAGTTGTTGAAACCTTTGCATTACTTTTATGTTTTTTTACACTTGAAAGTGAAAGAAAAAAGAAAGACTCCTGAAAACAAAAGAGTTTCAGAAACCTCTGTGCGCAGACAGGAAGATTTGTCGGACTGATCAGATAATAAATGCATACAGAAGGGTGGTCCAAGAAGCTGTATAAATTTTTCGTAATTTCTCTAACCTACAAACGGATCTTTTTTAATGCAAAACTTTCAGGATTCGACGGCCCTTGTTCTTAACTTTACGAATGCATCGATTTTTACCCCATAAAAAAGCTTCCAGGGACTTTTCTAGGGCGTTTTATTTGCTGTCATTTTTTTAAGCGTTCCAAAGTACGTGAAAATCCGTAAATCGTCGAATGTAAAAATTGTATTTCCACGATGAAAAATTCGAAATAATCTAATCCGGCAATATCTGATAACCTACCAGGGATGTCTTGATTTTTTACCACTGCCGGATCAAAATCATAGTCGTCCGTTTTTGCGCAATGCTGGGATTTTCCAGAAGGAAGCGAAAAAAAGTTTGTTTTCTCCAAATGCGTAGCCCTACACATGTCATTTTTCTTATAATATTTCCCAAATCAATTTTAATTAGTCTCTAGATAGTTGATTTATTGGATTGTAATAGATTTATCATGCAGAATAAAGATTTGAGGATTTCTTGGTGAGTTAAGTTGTTCAACCGAATTTTTAGATTTTTTTGTACTTTTGGCAATGGGTAGTTTTTCAAGGGTGCTAAAGATATTAGGCTCTTGGCGTGACTTTTAATATGTCCTCCAGGCACTATTTTATTAATTAATTGCAAATTTATTTCATGACCACATAATTTAAGCTCTTTTTATAACGCTTCCGGTGGAGCTTCGTCAGGAACAGTCTACCTCTACTTCATCTGAGCAGGTTGGTCGCATTTTCAAACATAAGTTTACAAAAAAAATCACAAAACAATTTTTTGAGTTACTCTATCCGATTTTGACGATAAATTTGAATTTTATCATCCCGCCTTTAAGGTGAGGTGGATTGAGTTTTTATACAGCTTCTTGGACCACCCTGTATTGTGCATACGGTTTTATAAACTATTGATTTGAATTGGAATTCTACCCCGTATTTTTCACAGAATGCATAAATTATGCAGCTTTTTGGTATTCAATCAACGTTCGGAAAACCCCGGGGTTTTTCTAGAAAAACCCAACCCCGTGGGTTTTTCCGGGGTTTTTGGGGTTTTTGTGGGTTTTTGGGTTTTTGTGGGTTTTTGGGTTTTTGTGGGTTTTTGTAGATTTTGGGGCAGGTTGAACCAGAATTCCTAAAATTATTTATTAGATAAAGACTAATTTAATATACAATTTTAACATGTAATTTTAACCGTTATCATTGATTTGGACTATTACATAGAAAATTCATGTTTGACATGTAAACCTGGAAATATGCAATGATACTTGGAAATTCAAGTCGCAAATGAAAATTCTTAAAATTTCAAGATGAGGCAGAAAAGTTAATTAGCATTGATCTACGTTGTAGTTAAATGGATTTTGTTTCAATCTGCTTCAAAATCTTACAAAAACCCCGGAAAAACCCACAAAAACCCACAAAAACCCGCAAAAACCCCATTAAGCATGAGGGTTTTTCCGGAGATTTGATACCCCAAAAACCCACAAAAACCCCAAAAACCCCAACCCACAAAAACCCGGGGTAGCGAACCCTGTATTCAATCAAATATAAAATTTATTTCTTACCTGTCCATCTCGCCAATCAATAACTGTAACATGACAGAAGGATAAACTATGACATGTCCAAGCGTAAAAACCACAATTGAGGAGTAAATGTAGAACAAGCCAGTTTGAAACAATCCGTTTACAAGGGCAACCGTTATCGTTAATCCATTAAGGTTTTCCATCCGATCCAAATTTTTACATTGAG